TCTCACACTTTATTTCAAAATATTTCTCAGTTCTTAGCAACTGCTACTCCTTATTCAAACCCTTTGGATCTAGACTCTTCATGTTTATTTGACGAATTCCGACAGCCTGAAGCGTTCCTTCAAGAAACTTTCTAATACAGCGGCTAGTCGTTCGTCGGCGCCCTTCCGGGCGCCACTCACGACTAGCCGCTGCTATGTTTCGTTCTATTTCTCCACAGCACCATCCTTTTTTATTTACACTTCATCTAATCATAAACTTGACTTACTTCGAAAAACCATTAGATCTGTAGCACGACAATTCTCGACGGGATTTCTAAACCAAAGCTTCGTTGTGAACTATTTCTGATTTCTTTAATTTCATTCTACAGCTGAAAAAACAGAGTTTTATTGAAACCCCTCATTAAGAAAGTATTATTGCAGTATTCTCAAAAAAAAATAGCTTTATACATATCTTTGGTGAGCGAAATCTACCGAACGGTTGCAATAAAAGCAACGCGCCGCTCATTTTACGTCAGTGCACTCATGCAACAGTTTGTTTATTGTCTATTTAACATAAAAGGCATGGCATCGTTTTTATACATCTATTTTTTTATTACTTCAAGTTATCGCAACTAGAAATTTCACGAGTTAGAGATCCTCAAAACATATACAAGGTTAAAAATTCGGGTTTTTATAATAATAATAAATTACAGTTTATTGCCACATACCAGTTTAAGATCTTGCCCCATCTATGGATAGATTTCTGCAGGGTATACATTTAACCTTATGAAAGAAATGGGAGAAATTTGCTCACAAAATCAGTTCTATTGAAAGATTGTAAGAAAATCTGGCTAATCTTACAACGCTCCTCTGTCGTTGCAAAAGGCATCGTCGCCTTTCTTTGAACATAGATAGCTTTTGTTATACCTTTAAAAGCTTCTGAGATACGGAGATTTGACATGGACAGCATCTCTTAGTGAAATCATATTAGTGGTTTTGTACCAAATATATGGGACTTCAAGGTGCAAATAACTTCCATTGTTTGAACATTTGAAGAGTATTGTCGAGGCGTTCCTAATCTGCTTGCCCTCTCAATCATTCAGGGCATGCTAAGAACTACCCATGTGCAAAAAATACCTCCGGTGTCTGTCCCAATAATAGAGAGAACGGATACAAATAAGAACTTGAAATTTCAAGAAATCAATTGCAGATTCCAATAACCCGGTCCCTGCTTACTTTCGTCAACCTTTATAAAATATCGTTATTTTTCCCAAAACAGCATTTCCTTGATTGAAAAAGTTCAACTAAAAATGTCGAGAAATCGATTACGGATCCGGATGCTCCGACCCCGATTTACTATCCTCAACCTTTAAAGCGTATCACTATTTTATCAAAAAAACTCTTTCCTTGACCGAAAAAGTTGGACTCAAAGCTTTAAGAAACCGATTACGGATTCAGATACCCCGACCCCGGTTTATTTTCATCAACCTTATAAAATATCGCAATTTTTGCAAGAAAAAAGCTCGTTTCTGATTCGTAGGCTTTCTAGCCAATGGGAAGGTCGAATGCAAAATCAGATATCAGACTTAGAATCCTGGCCGTCGGTAACCCATAGGAAGTTTCCTCAAAATGTACAAAAGGCTTAAAACAAAAAATCTCATTTCTGATTGGTCGACTTTCTAGCCAATTGGAACACCGGAATTGAAATCCGACCTCGGAATCGCATTTCCCGACCTCAATTATCTGTACTGAAACTTCAGAAGGTACCCAGGGCAAACAGTCGGACACTAAGATCGGACAAGATTCTGCATCTAATCATGTGTGATCTTGTAAGATTTGGTAAGAATCGAACAAAAAGTCGTGGTCTAAGAAATCTTATATCAATTCTTATTGTAAGATTCTTGGCAAATCTTGTTGTCCTGCCAGATTTTACTGTAAGATTATAGAAAATCTTATGCGACGATAGAATCTGACAAGAATCCTACGGTAAGAATTGATGTAAGATTTCTTAGACCACGGTTTTTTTATGCGATTTCATATGATCGTACAAGACTTACTGTCAGATTTTTTGACCTGGGTACGCCTAAATAAAGTTCCCCTCTGATGTTTTTTTGACCTTCCAAGAAACAGACACATACACACACAAGCGCATTTTAGTTTTTTTCATATGATTCTCCATACAGTCGAGGGAATATCATTATTTTCTCAAAAGACCCTTTCCTCAACTCAAAAAACTCAGTTCAAATTTTGAGAAACCGACTTCAGATTCGGATTCCCCGACCCCGATTTACTTTCGTCAACCTTTATAACAAATAAATGTGGACACCTCGGACTTAAGTCCGAGAGTTATGTGTACTTCAAAAAGTGAATGCGACAAATCAGTCATCCTAGAATGCGTGGATATACAAATTAACTTGGCAAACCCTTTCTATAAACACTTGAATTCTATTGACTGCTGCTCAACCAATAGGATTTGGGGGTGAATACAACTCAGATTTGAACTCTTCGCCTTAATTTACCCTAAGAAAGTCGTTTTTTTTCTATAACGTGATTTCTATTGGTCAGTGCTTAACTAATAGGGCTTCGAAACAAGTAGAGTACATATTCGAGTTCTCCAGCCTAGAAAACCTTCAAGCATCACCTCTTATCGGACGATAGTGCTCTCATTTGTGAATCAGTTAGAGCGTGGACAAAAACAGAACCGATTTCCGTTTAATTATCTTTGCAATAGGTGAGCTAGCTTTCTTGTTTCCTTATGTTTTATATACCATTTTGTAGCTCGTAAAATTCTCTATCGAATGGTATATAAACAATTGGGGTTTTATTTGACTATGATAGGAAAAGTTTTTTACTAAAGTGGAGATAGGTCGATCTTCGTCGCATAGGGAAGCATAGGGAAAAATGACTATTTTTGCAATAACTCAGCAATGGCTCGGCTAATCATTCTCATCTTCGAACTCGACCGAGATATTGTTGAGACTAAGCTGTGTAGAAAATTTCATCGTGATCGGACTCTCCTTTCAAAAGTTATCGTGTAAACGGACGGCCGGACGGACACACTGACCGATTCTAGAGTGTACTCACTTTTTGAGTACACAAAAACGTCATCTTCGATGTTTTTTTGACCTTGACACAAAGCCACACACACACACACAAACTATTTTTTTATATGACCCTCCCTACAGTCGAGGGAATAGGAACAATATCATACTAACTCTCATGACTCCTCCAATATATGCATAAGCAAATTTCGCTTCATTCAAATANGGTTTTTCAAAAAAAAAACTTGGAAAAATTTTTTTATAAAACCTATTTCTCTACTATTACAAGTAACCACAAAGGTCATTTTTGGAGGGATAAACCCTCGACAGATATACTAAACGTTGTATATATAGAAGTGTTATTTCTTTCCTCTTCGATATATATTCATTCAATTATGCCGTCGACCAGTAACTTGAAAAATCGTCATATTTCAATTTTGTCTTATTGGAGCAGGGATATACGATCTGCTTCTCTTATTTATCGTGAAATACACATTCCATTGAACACTTTTTATTACAATATTGACAAATTAAAACAAACAGGTTCACTGAAACATCGAGTTGGAAACGGTCGACCACGTGTCCTTGGTGGAAAAGAAAAAAAAGCTGTAGATCAATACAATCCGTATAATACTGAAGTAGCTCTTAACGAAATAAAAGAAAATTTATCGAGAATGCCCCATAAATCAGTGTCTACATCAACTATTAATCGTCATCTTCATGAATATGGTTATAAAAATGTTCTACCTCAGTCTATTCACATATTAACATCGGATGAAAAACGGTAACAGTCAAGAATGTCCTTGACGAAATGTCCATGGTTTTTCGTCCCAAGATCAAATGTCCTGGAACTTTTTGTCCTTTGAAAAATGTCCCTAAGGTAAAATGTCCTCTGAACAATGTCCCTGAAGTTAAATGTCCTCCATGTAAAAAAATATTCGTTTAACTAATTTATTATTTGTGTGATTATATGCTGTTTTGGACATAGATAGCATTATAGTCTAAGTCTATTTTGGTATATATGTAATTCTTATTTGAAGAATTTGTTTTTGTACAGAATGAACTAATTTAGAGAAAAACAAACTATAGAACTGGGATTGGTTGTTTACTTAATACCTATAGAAAAAACAATTAAATAAAACGAAATATTTTTTTAAAATGTCGTCTGAAAATGTAACGATGATGGATGATGATACATCACCCTCAACAGCAACTGAATGTTTATCATCCTTGTCCTCCTCATCATTACTTGCATATTCATCTTCAACGACTAATTCAAGAACACCTAGTATCAGTACAACAACATCGAATAAACGACGATTAATGTTAGTTATTGAAGGTTACGATTTCCAATTGAAAAATTTTAATAAACATCGAACAATTAAGTTTTGGCGGTGTGCCAATAGAAGTTGTCATGTGCTTGTACATACGACTCTTGAAAATCAATTTTTTCGTTATGGTGGAAAATTATCTAGTCATACACATTTACCAAATCCATCTGCATCCGAAGTATGGAATTTGCGTGAAGCAATGCGTAAAAGAGCTGAAAATGAAACAACAGCATTGCAAAATATCGCTGAACAAAAAGTGCGGCAAGCATTGCTAACAGCAGAAGCTTTAGTCAAGTTACCTCGTATTAATAATTTGGGTACGATGTTACTTTTCCATGCGAGTTAATAAATTCATATATTTGTTGTTTACGTTTCCTTCAGGTCATAACTTGGTGCATCATCGACGTAAAACAACTCCTCCAATACCACAATCATCATCCTTTTTCATACCTGAATCTTATACAAATGATTATTGTAATAAAGCTCGATTGTTGTTGTACGATAGTGACGATCCCAAATATCAATTAAATCAATCAGGACATATACGATCTGAAGGAAGAATCTTGGTTTGGTCGTCAGATATTCAACTAAATTTGTTATTTAATAGTCAAAAACTTCACATAGATGGTACGTTTAGTACATCACCGCCACACTTTGAACAGGTATTTATTATTCAAGCATTTCTTCAGGGTTCATGTAAGCTAACTTTATTTCATTATTTTTTATTATATGGTACTTTAATTGAAATAGGTGTGCCGGTGTTATACGCAGTGTTACCCGATCGAAAAGCATCAACATATATTCATCTATTTACTATTCTATTCGATCATGCCAAACGATTGAATAAAAAATGCGATCCTAAAATAGTTATGACAGACTTTGAACCTGGCCTTACAAAAGCAATTAGTCTTGAGGTAATATATATAATAGTTTACCGAATGTTCAACAGGTTTTTAATAAAATTTATCTTTTTTTATAGTTTACAGAAAATACTATTCAAAAGGGGTGTTTTTTCACTTTACCAAGGCCATTTACAGAAATGTTCAATCACTCGGTTTAGCATCTGTCTATTTAGATAATCTTATGATTCGTAGTGTTATTCGTCGAATCATGGCATTGGCCTTGGTGCCTGCAAAATTTATTTCAACATTATTTGATAATCTTGGAGATGATTTAAGTCAATCTGAACTTGATGAATTAGCTCCGTTGTTCAAGTACTTTACCAATTACTGGTTACAACCTACTTCTATGTGGAATGTATTTGATATACCTGATAAAACAAATAACTTCAGCGAAGATATGTTAAAATAGTATGTCAATTACAAATTTGTGATTAATACGTGAATATTTTTAGGATATAATAATAGGTTCAACAATCGGTTGAACAAATGCCATCCCAACATTTGGTATTTTATCGATGCAATTCGGAAAGAGGTGGATACCGTTCATAGTTTAATCATTCAAATCAATAGCGGAATGTGTCCTCGTACAAAACGGTTAATCACAAGAATTGCTCAAGATCGGACCAATGAGTTATATGATTGATTTAACAATAATGCAATTACAGTGCAACAATTATTAGAAGAACTTTCTTTTTTTGTTCCAAATGGCTAACTTAATAAAACTTTCGTTCTTTTAAATTAGATTTCATCGTTAATAATTTGATCTTCTCTTGATCATTTTGCACTAGAAGGACATTTTTCGGATAATCATTTCTTCGGAACATGTTGGTCAAAAAGGACATTTTTTCAGAGGACCATTTCTCAAGGACATTTTATACGAAGGACATTTTATAAGGAGGACTTTTTTTCAAGGACAAAAAACCAAGGACATTTCGTCAAGGACATTTTTGCAGGGACATTCTTGACTGTATTCTGAAAAACAACAACGTGTACTATGGGCCAAGATGCATATAAATGATGATTTCAATAATACAATATTTACAGATGAATCCTCATTCCAGCTTTTTCGTAGTACAGTTCGCCGATGGACAAAATACCCCAATCAAAAATTTAAATGCTCAACTAAAAAGCTGTTAGCGCAATCCCTTGCGGGATTAAAAATGTGAAACACGATGGCTCTATTATTACTAATTAAATGGAAATCCTTTTCTTCCATTACGTTGCGATACATTTGTAGCTAACCGT